TCAGAGAGAGAGGGAGAGCACAAGCAGGGAGGGGGGCAGGCAGAGGAAGAAGCAGGCTTCCGGCTGAGCAGAGAGCCCAATGCCAGGACAATCCCAGGACTCTGGGATCATGATCTGAGCCGAACGCAGACGCTTAACCGACCGAGCCACCCAGGCATCCCACCATTTGTCTTATTCATACCTGCCCCATATCTTTTGAATAGCATTTCTGTGTTACTGAAAATTCACATTGTGAGTCCTGCCTCTGGAGCAAGTCAGAATTCACTTCCCCAGGCTCTTTTCCAGCTGGGATGCAGGCATGTCACCTGTGCTTCCCTAATCAGACCCCTGTGTACAGCTCTGACTGGAGGTGAGTGCTGGGAAGCAGGCTCTGCATGGAGCTTCTATTCTGAGGGTTAGAATCAGGTCCACAGAAACTTCTCTATGGGGGGATGGGGGGCCTATTGACCTGAAATCCTTAGAGAGGAGTGGTTGTGGTGCTGTCAGCGTAGCATCTTCAGCTGGGTCGGTCCCCAATATTTGACTTTCAAGGGCAGTGAGCCAGGCAGAGTTTCTGCCTCAGACCGGTGAACAACCTGGTGAGCCCATTGCCAAAAGCCCATTTCTTCCCTAGTCATGGTTCTGTGGCAGCCGGATATCTTCTTAATAAATACCCTTTGGCTTGGAACTATCAGAGTGAATTCTTAGCCTGTAGCCAAGAACTTGATCAATATATGTTCTATTTTGCCCATTTCCTGCTACTTTTTTTTTTTTTCAGTTGAAACTTCCAATTAGAGTTTCCTCAAAATTTTGAAAATCATAGTTTGAAAACCTGGTGATAGATTTTAGGAGATTCCTTTATTTTACTTTGATCCTACATTCACTGATCCTTTACATTGAATGTTTCCTTTGTTTGCTGTGTTATCCTCCAGATGGCCAGTCACATGTCACTTGTTCCTCTTTGAAGTTCTGCTCAGAGTTTATTTTTTTTTAATCAGTTTCTATCCTGACCACTCTAAAATTGCAGCCCACCCTTTTTGCAGCCTACCTTACCTTGGTCTTTTGTATTGTTTCCATATCTCCTGTTCCTTTCTAAATACGAAATTATTATTGGGGTGCCTGAGTGCCTCAGTCAGTTATGCATCCAACTCTTGATTTCAGCTCAGGTCATGATCACAGGATCATGAGATCAAACCCCATGTCAGACTAAGCACTGGGCATGCAGCCTGCTTAAGATTCTCTCTCTCCTTCTCTCTCTGCTCCTCTCCATCTCCCTCCCTCTCTCTCTCTCTTTCAAATAAATAAATAAAAATATAGGAAATTATTTAATTATTATTATTGTTTGTTTCCTATAATTACAATGCAAGCTTTTGGGGCACGTTTTCTTTGCTTGGTTGGTTTAGTTTGTCTTAAACTGATTTATCCCAAGTACCTAGAATATTTCCTGGAATATTATAGATCTTCAGTAAGTATTTGTTGAATGAATGCATATTGAGATATGTCTATATATTTATAATTGTGCTTTGTTCCTGCACTTTTTTTAAACACCTGGTCAGAAGAAAATAAATCCAATTTCTCCAGTGATTGAAATGTGCAGCTCAGGTGTAGATTCCCTTCCTGACTATATCATTAGAGTCATGAATCAGGGCAAGTCCCATCCTTTTTGATCTTCAGTTTCCTTGTTTGTTATGTTCCAAAGGAAAACAAACACAAAGGTGGGACATCTGAGAGGAAAATTTAGCAAAGATTCTTCTGCTTTCAAATATCTGTGTGTGTGTGTGTGTGTGTATTTTTCCTTCCTTTCTTCTTACTCATTGACATGCATTCAGTTAACACAATTTAAAACCTTTATACTAATTTCCAGAAATGAGGAGGGGACCCCAAGCCTCAGTTCTATAAGACACTGATGGATTTGAAACAAAACAAAGCCTCTGGCTCCTGTGAAACTTCTAGGGGCTTAAGATACCAAGTGAGAATTGGTAAAACTCCTAGAAAGCAACATAGACAGCAGAACCTGTGCATAAATTGGTTGTTCAGAAATCATACCATTAGTAATGATGCTATTAATTGATTACAATCTTGGTTTAGCTCATAAACAAAAATAACCCATGATGACATTGAACATTACTATGTGATCTGGATTCAAGATTATTGGGGAGAGGCCTGAGCAGTGCCAGAAGGAGGGAGAGGTGGGGAGATTTCTTCCCCTTTTTTTGGATCGAAAGCCAACATTGGTAAACATATTCACATATACAATATTTTACCCTTGTGTTCCCTGGACCCACACACTGAAAAAATTGATCTAAGCTTACTCCACTCCCAAAAGTAGTGATCTGTGTCCTAAATAGACCCACCAGCTCTCTAGGCCACATGAGTGTGGCTTATCTAAGCTAGAATTTAGAAATAAAACAATTCATTGGGACTATTGTTCCATGGTTTATAAACTGTGTGAAACTAGGGAAAATGGATTTATACCATTGAGAATTAGTATTTAAAAAGAAGAGTCTGGTTAACAGACATTGCTAACCGGAATTCTAGCTTAAAAGATAATAAAGGGGCTTGGAACATTTTAGGCAGAATCAGTGTGTTATTTTGGGGTGAGTATGGTCCTTCAGGCTGTCCTCCCTCTAACTCAGTAACCCTAAGATACTTTTGCTTTTCACAGTATCTTCCTGATCTTTTCCTCATGACCTACTGATTCTTGGAAGCTCCAGATTATCATTTCTCTTACTACTTGCCTCAGTGACTTCCATAAGGATATTAGCACTGAGAGCAATGTGGAGAAAGTTGTTGCTATCTGTGCATACACAAATAATTTGTAAATTATGTGTTTGTAAATCAGGAGTTGTATGCACAATTAAATCTTGACTTGGCAAAATTCCAACCTAGTAACATCATCAGACAAGTATTATTCTACTTTAAAACGGTACATCATTATGGTACATGGTACATGGCCCCTAATAAGCATTTCTTTCATGTTTTAAATAATCACATGTTAAGTGCCTGTTGTATGCCAAACAGAAACAAAACAGCAATTTCCAAAGGGACCTGGACCTAACTCCATGCAGACTGATGATGTATAATGCCTCCAACTCTGCCTATAACCCGTTGCTTGGATACACTATCATCTTCTCAGTAATAACTTTAATCTACTGAAATATTCTCAATCATAAAAGAAAACTCCAACTGATTTTACTAAACTAAGCTTTGAACAACAACAACAAAAAAAAAAAAAAAAAGGGAAGAAAGAAATTGACAAAGACTCCAAAGTAGTTTTCTGTCAACTACATAAATCAGAAATTGGAGTTTATATGCCAACTTCCTATGGGTTAAATACGACCTTCAGAAGGAATTATTTGGCCCATGTAGTACCGATCTTCAACAGATTTCATTTTTTTCCCTTAAAATCTTTGAATTTGAAATACTTGTCCTCAGAGTCTATCAGAAACTGAGAACTAATGTCAGGGCAATCTTGGCCCTCATGCTGTTGTTTTCCTTTGATAGTTTTACAATGAAATTAATTTTTGTATCTGTATCTTAAAAATCTTTGGTCTGCAATCTGGCCCAATTTACTTAACTATGGTACCTGTCTGATTTTAGTTTGTGACCCTGCCTCTGAACATTGTGATTGATCCATGTCCTACTATGTGAATATTTTTCATGAAAGTGTTGTTTATGTCTGTATTTATATATGTCTATAGATATGGGTATAGCTATAGATACATAGATACAGATGTGTATATGGATATATATAGGTAGAGAGAGATTTGTAAATATGTATATATAGATATAGTTATAGATATAGATAGATCCATATACAGAGAGAGAAAAAGAAAGGAAGGGCAAAAGAGAGGAAGAAAGAAAAGAAGAGAAGGAAATGAGAGAGGGAGGATATATACAGATATGTGTATGTATATATACATATTACATATATAGAGATATATGTGTATATATATATATGTAATACATGTAAATATATATTTATTCTTCAAAACATTTCCATGTAAGCTTTTGACACCCTCTGCAAACTATCTTGTCTTTCAGATGGAACACCATTTACCTGGTGGATTGGGCGGTCCAATGAAAGGCATCCTTACTGGGGAGGTGCCCCGCCTGGGGTTCAGCAGTGTGAATGTGGCCTGGATGAGAGTTGCCTGGACATTCAACACTTCTGCAATTGTGATGCTGACAAGGATGAATGGTAATGGTGATCCTGATCTTTCTGCAGTTGTAGGGGAAGCCCATTAATTGATGCATAAAATTTCCCCAAGAGAAAAAGACATGGATGAGAAATTCAGTTATGAACTAGGTCTCCCTAATGATTGTGATTGTTTTTAACTTTGAAAATTGCCAGTTCTAGTACTTTTAGGGATATCACTGAGGTTTATAACATAAAACACATTGTCACATCAAAGCCTCCTTATATCTGAACATTCCATTTTGTACAATAGAATGAAATGTAGTATTAAGCTTTGTGACTTAGTCGGTGTTTCTGTAATGTGTGGACTATAGGTTCTGGGAGAGAGTGTGGGAGATCGGGATGTGCAATTGTACAGACCATACCTTCATTCTCCCATTTTCCCACTGATATTTCAGTCACCAGGCTACCTTATCATGGAATAAAAATATAGCAAAGAAAATTTATATTTATTGAACATCTACTTAGTCTTCACAAAAAAAACTTATTAATTCCTTATAATTTTCCCACTTTTGCATCTTAAGATTGAGGAATATAATTTACAGAGAAGTTAAATAATTTTCCCAAAGTTATACACATGTATTAGGTGGCAGATCCAGAACTTGAACTCAGTTATGGCTGGGACCAGGGTCATTCTTGCTCTTCACAGTTGCTTTCGTAAGATAAAGCTTAGTTTTTGGTTCTCATATCCATAACATCTACTTTCCCTTTGTCCTCCAGGTGAACTGCCTGGTTTTCACTGTATTATGAAAATATGCACAGAACATTTCCAAACCTGCTTTTGTTTTCACTAAATTCAAGGCATTCTTCAGTTTTGGCTTTGTAATTTTGCTTGCTTCATGAAATTCTGCTCAATTATAATTCAAAATTCCTATGTCAAGCTGCTCTCAACCCACTTGAATTTTCTTTTAAGTACTTTTTCTTCACTGTTTAAATTGATAACAGCAGGGGATGTTTTGAATGAAATTTAAGGTAGAGTCAAACTCTCAGTTCAATGAGGAAAAGAACAAACACTTGCCTCCACTGGGTTCTACTAGATGGACCACCTCTTCAGAATGTTGTAGGGCTGCTTGGGCTCCAAGACAAGTTACCTGGATGCCTTACCTGATTTTACATGGGTAAAATCAGACAAAGTTGACTGGAGGTAGTTTGGACTTCTCCATTATTTGGGCCCCCACTTTACCCTGCATTGCTTTCTCTCATAACATCATGGAGGAGTGCAATCAAATATAACTCATATTTTGGATGGGGACTGTGTCTCTTTTAATATTATATCCCTCAGGATCTATTCCTTGTAGAAACTCAGTGGTAGTTAGCTGAATAGATGAATTTAGAAGACCTTTAAGGAGGAGGGGTGACCACAAATTTGTTCCTATAAGCTTGAGAAATATGTATGGAGAAGTTAAATGGTTTTGATGCCAGGAAAATGTATTTAAAATGACCTGCAGCTTAGATTAGATTCACTTTTTTTGTGTGTGATTCATTAATTCCTCTTCTCTATGCTTTATAGATGTATAGACCTTAATGGAAACACCTTTATTTCATTATGTATAATCAGGGAAGTTGATATGGGACAATAGAATATAAAGGGAAGGGGAAGTGTTTCTCCTAATTACCTTCACTCCCTTTTGGCTGAATTCTTGATTTTTGCTCACTGTTTTATTTCCTGTGGTGTGGCCATTTCCATACTGAACACTGCCTCAGTGTCTTTTCTTCCTAGGGAATAACCAACCAGGGCTGGGCTTAATTTATTGAGCAGTTAGGGGCAGTGGGAGAGAATGACATCAAATTACTTAAAAGTGGAAAAGAGGCCACTATGTTGATGAGCTTCCACACTGTCTTCTCTGGGACTTTCCACTGACCATCTTTTACTCAGATTCCAGCCTCTTCCTCCATTGACCCACTCACTAGTTCACTAAGCTTTGAACCCTTAATATGTTGACTTAACTTCATCATCTAAGCTGTACTTAGAGGAGTGTTTCAAAATTTCCTTTCTGTCAACTCTGGCACATCATACGTTTATCAACATAGAGGTTATTGCATATTTTATAACCCTTTCTAGTTCCTTTACAGTCAGGGAAAAACTCCATTATCTGCCACTTTCTGTGGCAAGTGACCTCTATTAGGGGCAGCAACATTTAATTTTAGATATAAATTTTGTTCAACAACCCACATAACAAGGATCAAGAGAGATGATCTGAACTTCCTTTCATAAAGATGCCTACTTCACTGTGACTAAAATAACATGTTGATCATCTCAAGGCAAAATTCAGGCGAAATCAGGGAGTTCTTTCTGTCATTCTTACGAAGGATGGAAGAAGAGGCTGAGAAGGAGAATGAGAAGAGGCTGAGATTACTGATTTAACTCTTCTGGATTTCACTAATTTGTCTCAGGACATCACAGCCTGTTATACATGAATCTGGAAAATACTTTGTTATAGAAGCAACTGTACTTACTAGTCCATCTGATATTTACTCATGTATCACTTGTTTACTGTGTCCCTGGTCTTTGCCAGTCAAGCAGTCTGATTGTGCAGAGAAAGTCAAGGGCATTATAGTCTCTGCCCTTGAGGAGCTCACAGAGCAGTGAGAAAGAAAAAGCTAGTTAGTTAGCAATAAATGTATTGTGTGATGAATTTGATAATAAAGATAAGTATAGATGTGCCCAAAGCTGTGGTGGATATGGGCTGGGATAAGTGACAGGTTTTGAAGGACCAGAAGAAGTTAGCTAAAGTTAGTGTAGTATAGGTAGGTGGAACCTCCATATGCTCAGACAGGGAAATGTGAAAAAATATAGAAATCACTACTTTCCCAAGACAATTTGGTGTGATTATTGCCCCATCTTCATGTGGGGAATTTGCAGGAGAGGAAGGCAGGAAAGATCAAATCCAGATCAAGAAGCTCCTTGTATGTGAACTAACAGTGAGATTCCTTTGTCTGTAACAAGATTGTGAACACAGAATATCCATTCCACCATGAAACCCGGCAGAGCCTTGTGGAAATGCATTTATTACTTATCTATTCAAGTCTATTATTTACTGTAGAAGGGAAAAGTACAAAAGCTTACACAATTGTGAAATAGTCATGTTTTTTTAACATTCTTCCAAGCACATTCATAGCTTCCATGTGGTCAAGCTGGCATTCCACACATTTTCATATTTTTGTTTCAGTCCAGCATGCCCCTATTAATATCACTGGTGTTTCTCTGTGCTCCTAAGAAACCTCAAATATATTTACTTTGTACAGTTCCCTCAAGTTTCTGCTCTTGGTAAAATTGATCAGAAAACTGATTTGGGCTGGTAGAACATCTAGCAGTTTGATATATTACAACTCCTAGGTAATATTGTTGCTGAAAAATGTTACCTAACATATACTGAAGTGTTCTTGGTATTTTATATAGTGCATCTCATAGCATCATCCTACCAGCTCTTGAGGTGGGTTTCATCATCTCTTTTCCCCAGAAAAGGAAACTGAGGCTCTGGCATGGTAAGTGGCTTAGTTAAGGTCACGTGACTAAGGGGGCAGAGTAGGATCCTGCTGACTCCAAGGATGCTCTTGGTGACTACATGAAAGGAGCGACCAAGTTGAGATTCTGAGTTATGACAGCGGGTGAGGATTCCAAAGAGACCTCTCCCAGGGTTTCTCCAATCACATCACAGCAGCCCATGGGTTTCTTTTTTCTGGATCAGGCTGCTCAGAGAGGCTTAGCCATCCTCTTGGCCTCTGGTAATTGACAATAATTTATTCTGTTTTAATCAAACTCGGTAACTGAATAAATTGCTGCTATATATTTCAATGAGACCAAGTAAATGAGGAAAATGATTACAGGGTGGGTGTGAGGGGAAGTGAGTCAGCTCAGAAGATGGAGGTGGATGGAGGGGAAAAAAGAATTTGATGAACACCCAAAGCGTGACTTTTTCTTAGAGTAAAGGGAAGCATCAGGTAGGCGTTAGAAATCAGGTATGCTACTGAGCTGACATCTCCAAGGGGTTCTGTCCCAGCCAAAGAACTAAACAGGAAGAAAAAGAAAAAAAAAATAAATGAGAAAACTTGAAATGAGTAACAGTTTTATAGTCAATGATTGCTTGCAAAGGAACTTGTCTTCAACTTAATGGTTCAATGTATAGAAATCCTGCCAATTGGGTGTTTTATGATCCCATTACTTCAGACTGATAGACTTCAGAGAATAGCAAATGACACGGGATAGCTCCAGGCTGGAGACAGCACAGGGGCAGTGGGGTTCTGTAGGATGGGAAACCGTCATCTAGGTAGATGGATCCAAAGGATGGTTCTGTCAGCAAGTTGGAGGAGGCAAGGAAATCTTTCAAAGTGTGCCTCATGGTGGTGGCCTGCGGTCCTAATTAAGACTTCTTTCAGCCAAACAACCAAGTAGAACTGAAACTAAGCTCTATTGCTTAAGAGTAGGACATCTTTTAGAATTTAGTCATAAGAAAGTACAGATATTTTTATTTGATTTTCAGTAACTTTGTTCTTTGCCTCTTGTCCTTAATACACCCTTATATAAAGTAATATGGTAAAAAATAGGAAGAGAAAATGATGTAAGGTTTAAATTCTGGTCATCTGGTCATCCAAAAAAAGGGAACCTATTATTCTGTTTCTTAAAAAAAATACAAGATATTTTTAGGGTTTTATTTTTGGGGGGGGATATGGAATCCTGAAGCTTCAAACCACTCTTTAGCCATTGATTCCACTTGACTACCACAGAGAAATTATTTAATAAATGGTGTCAAATCCATGAATGAACAATTGAATGACTTTTATTGGACATACTTTTACTTTTCTTAGGTCAGGCCATGGTCATTCTTGGATTAACTTATCTTTATTTCATTGTTAGCTGTTATCCACCTTTAAAACCTCACAAGAGGGCGCCTGGGTGGCTCAGATGGTTAAGCGTCTGCCTTCGGCTCAGGTCATGATCCCAGGGTTCTGGGATCGAGTCCCGCATCGGGCTCTCTGCTCCTTGGGAGCCTGCTTCTCCCTCT